ATAAGAGAAAAAGCGTAACAGACGGACGGACGGACGTACAGCAAGACGGATGGACGGACGGACGGAAATCACGATCACTATATACCCTCCGCTTTTCAAGCGGGGGGTATAATGATTTGTTGCAATATGTGTATTCCACTACTGTGTTGACTTAATTTCATTCTGACAACATACCGTCGTTCCAGACTGGAGTCTTGTTATGGAGTTCCAGTATGTTCTCCATATTCTTCCTCTTGTATCTGTCAATCAAGCCGTCATTGTCCTACAAAACAACAAATCAATATTTATCCTTGTCGGAACCTCATTCATAGTATACCGTTAAGTCCGACTGGTCAATAAATTTCAAAACAAGGATTACATATGACCTGAATAACACCATCAGTTTGATTATCTGTTAAGAATGTAACATCTTAAATAAATGAATTATGATCATTCTAAAATCAGATTATTGAACATCAGCAAGTACCAGGGTAATGAACAACTTTCTACTCATTACAATTTCTCATCATTAGAGATTTTGAAGCCAAAAAAAAATCCAACTTAATTTTTCTTAATTTTTTTAATCTCCCTCTCTATTCAATCACCCTCCTCTCCTTTTTTTAATGCTTCCACAAGTTGTGTATGAGATGGATTTGATAACAGATCGTTTTTAAAAATAGAGGTTTTTCTTGGAGGGCTTGGGTTGGGATGAGGGGGACAATGAATTGATATCATAATGGTTCATCCAGGATTCTTTAACTTTTGTTCACTGTTGTCCACCTATATGACTCATAATTTAAATATAATCATATATAACAAATAGCAATGCTAGTCCCCTACCTCTAAATGTATTTTGGTTCCCAGTAAAATTTTTGAAAAGGTCATAATTCCTTCAAAAATCAGTGATCAAAGGAGTATGATAATGAAATAGTCATATAAAAAATTCAGCTTATGATCTGCATACTTGGTATCCTTTATTAAACAGAGGAACTAATTCATTGGGTTTTGTGCTTGTTCGTTAGTTTTGTTTTGACTTACAGATCTTGGCTTGATGTCTACTCGCTCATGGTCCAAATTCATTCCAGGAATGATAATGGTCATTTTTCTGGGTCCCTTAAAACCTAAGACATTTGTTTCCTGCAAAAAATGAGTCAGTCATAGTCATATCAATTTCATTGTACATCAATGACACATTATTTGATATACAGAATGATATATGGTACATGTTTATTAATGATAAAATCTTCATTTCATACTTACATAAATAATTCCAACTAATTCTTTTCTAGCGTTTTCATAATTGCTTTTCGGGTTGTCACCATTGTCAAACAAAGTGAACTGGGTACCTAATAAGTTGGCCCTACAAAGTACAAAGAGGAATGTAAGATCTTGACAAATCACTTATACTGGCAGTGAAGGAAAGACACCAAAAAATAATTTATTATACAAATCCTTCATTAATGTATCAGACAGAAACTTAGGTCAAGCCCAACTACAGTAGACTGACAAATTTTTGTGACTTCTTTCTTTAATGACAGTTCTTAAGTATTTAGACCAAGGAAATTAATTATTTATTTATTTATATCTTAAAACACTTAAAAGTACTCTAGAATAACATTCTCACTAGCAATATTGAATTTTTGCAATCCCAACACCCTCGCTAAAAATGCCGAAATTAAAATCTTTGCTAAAATTTCTGCTTATATGGCACTGTAAATTCCTACACATATGCAAGGAATTTATTAATGATATGTTATTTTGCAAAAAGCATCACTCGGGAAATAAAATTACTCGCTTTCATTTTTACGGTGTTGAAATCAAAGTAAAATCTCTTAATTATCCACCCGCAAGTCATTGTTCTTGCAATTTGATGGTAAAGAGCCATTTCGCGATAATAAGTACTCACAAAAAATTAGGTATCTACAGTATATCCATCTTCCCAAGTCAAGAGTTTCTAATCCGCTCCGCTCCACATAAACCCTTGACCAAATAGACTAGAATTGATGGGGTTAGAAATGCGTTCTCTGATTGGCCTCATGCTAGTCTGCATGAACCAATCAAATTCATTGTTTTATTTAAACTGAAACTATATCCTAAACAGAAAAAGTCACCAGTTTTAGTCCCAAGGATTACGCCTATATCATTTAATAGCCCACTTAAAAGTTTGTCTCAGCTTTTTAGTTGAGTTACAATGAATTTATTGCCGATTTCCAATATTATCTCGAATTCTCTGTTGAATTCGTTTACGCTGATTGGCCAATGGCAGAGGTCAGTAGAGTTCAAAATATGTAATCTCACAAAATGGTGTGACAGTAAACCCCATCAAACTTAGCCTATTCGGTGAAGGGTTTATGTGGAGTGGAGCGGATCAGAAACACTTGACTTGGGAAGATGTAGTATATCAAACATTTGTAAGCTTTTGACAAGGGAGGTAAGTGTTACCTGAGTTTTCCTACGTAGGCCTCGCCTCCCCTTGACAGATCTGTAGGGTCGGTGGAGATCAGGTAGTTTGAGGTTTTACTCTTCTTCCTCTTCCTACCAGCCAGTAAAAACACCTGAAAAGATAAATACATAATTATGTAGAAACAGTGCAAAGGAGATTAAAGTACCTAGAAACATGAACTCAAAAGCTTATACAGTAAACTTGGATATAACGAAGTCACAGAGACCTATGAAAATACTTCACTATATCCGTAATTTGTTAAAATTATATAGCTGGGTATCCAAGATAACTTCGCTATATCCATGAATTTGTAATCTATGTGTTCATACTAAACGAGTTTTACTATACAAAAACATTGCATACTGCACCAATTTGTGGTCAGGCTAACCCTTTTAATTAAATTTTGCATAAAAGGTGTGTATACCCTTAATTATCTTTACCCTATTATAGAAAACATACTATTTCAGAAAAAAAAAATTGTGATGCTTGTTTAAAACAACCTAAAAATAATCTTGCATTATACCACTAACCTTTTTGCCATCATCTTTCTCTAAATGGAGAAAGTAGGTGGGATAAATTCCTCGATCCACACCTTTTTTGTCTCTTGTGATCCGGCACTTCATGACATGACCTTGAGGGGCTGGCCTGAGCACAAAATCGTCAAGGTTTTCCGTGAGCTCCGGTGAGTAGTCTCGACCCTCGGCACCTCCTGGTGTATCGTCTTGATCATCATTCTGAGGGGAAAAAAATTCAACCTCAATAAGTATTCATAATCATATTACAACTGATAAAAAAATCATGAAAAATATTGTGCAGTTCTAAAAACAATAGACCCTTTCCCGATAACTGCGTACTGCTTTTTTGCAGGGCAAAATGATATAACTTGGTGAAATATGACGTGAAAGAAATTGTTCAATACACATCATTTAATATCTATCAAAAAAAACTTCGCCAAACGTTATTAATTTGCCCTGCAAAAGAGTATGCCACAGTTATCTTGAAGGGGCTAATTCATAAGATTTTTATTATAAATCAATCACTTATTTTGAGATTTTTACTGCTGGGGGACTTGCTGGGTACTACGGAGTACTCACCTCATTGTTGTACGTGGCCATCTGTTTGAGATTTTTACTGCTGGGGGACTTGCTGGGTACTACGGGGGCACTAGTCTCATCCACTCCGTCGTCTTCCTCTTCCTCCTCCGGCTGCTGGAATCCCTGGACCGGATGACTGCCCGCCTTCTGTCGCTGTTTCTGCTGAGCTGCGGGGGGGATTGGTGACCGCCCTCCAGAACGATCGCCGCTGGTACTAGGGGGCGGAGGCGGCCGATTAGGGGCAGGTTTTTTGTTTTTCTGCTTCTGGCCTTTGCTAGGTTTGTTTGAGTTTTCTGAAAATAAAAATTATAATATGGTTTGAGAATGGAATCTAGGATACATGGACAATTCAATTTTCTTTAAAAAATCATCCAAATATTTTGTCCTTAATCTGAAAGTTTGTCTAAACAGCTTATTATAGCCTCTTTATTTTTAAAAGACATTTTGCCCATTCATGTGGAAAATGAAAAAATTAATAATTCTTAATTTTTAAAAAATCAAACAGAAGTTTTAACATGTTAGTATCTAAAAGAAACCAAGGATAATAAGTAACAATAGGAGAAAATGGTACTAAGCTCTTACAATGAATTCTGTTGGCTCATTATCAGATAATGAAAATTTTAATGAATGTAAAAAGAATTTTTAAAAGGTAAAAAAAGGTAAAAGGTAAGCTATTTCTTTAAAAACAGAAGACAAAATTACAGAATCCTTAAAAAAATATAAATTCAAATACCTAAAATAGAAATGCACTCATTCTTGCACACCTTTCTTGTTGAACTCTTATTATGTAAGCTAGTAGGGTAGTATATCAAACAAATGTTTGGGTTGGGAAAGGGGGGGGGGGGCGTCAAAAGTTCACAAGTTCTCTATGTACCAATCAAATCTTCCAAGACTATTTTCTGTTCCATTGAACACTATTATCATAATAAATGCATGATGAAAGCATATTATCCATCAGAAAAATTATTCTGCCAATATCTATGACTATTGTGAACTTAAATAGTGGAAAGTCAGAGTTCTTACAATAACAACTTAATTGTAAGGATTGAATCTCAGCTCCAGTGAATGTATCAAAATAAAATACTCCAAGGTCATCAAAACCCCACCATCCAAAAAGCCAGACAAATAAACCATGTTTGGTAATTATAATAATTAGTACAATTTTTTTCTTGTAGGTATTGAGACTTATAACATTAATAACCAGAATCACCAGATTGCCTGTTACAAGTAGCTGCAAGTCATTCAATGTTTATTACAGTCTAAAAGGTGTCCTACTATACATATACACCAGTATGTAAAAATTAATTTTCATTTTACTTTCAATAAATCTCGACTTACAATGTATAGTGCTAAAACCAGTCCATACTGGTCTTTCATTGTTCCGTAATAACAACAACAATAGCATACGTTATCTTCATCAACAAGTGAATGCCAACATACACTGTTGGCCCAATGTGTTTACATTTTTACCTTCCAGTTGACGAGCCAGAATTTCCTCTTCATCGGGATCATAATGAAATGCTTCGTTAGTCCTGTATGGACTCTTGTAATCAGGAGAATACTGCCCACCCACGGAATTGGCTTCTGCCATAATTAGGTCCCTTTTTTCACTAAACACAAGTCCAAAAGGGCTTTCTGCCTTAGAATTCTCACATTATGAGAAAATCACCAATGGACGACACACAGTGCGAAAGGGTTTTTTTTTAAAAAAGCTTCCCAGTGTGATATTTTTCTTTTGACAGGTGAAGGAACGAGTTCAGAAATGGCTCACTTCCTGTTAATTAGCTATAATCAATTCTAGCAAATTAAGCAGGAATCAATGCAGCTCAATTTATCCAAGCAAGGAAAAAAAACATCAACTCATCCTAGATCAATTGCAATTCAACTTTGCCCCTATTCTTCCGATACTTTTTCCTCATTTAATTTTGTTATTAAATACACAATTGACAAGCCAGGGCATGCTGATCAATGTTATAAGATCTCCTCTGCCAAAAATGGATGTTCACCGAGCATGCATTAAGGGAAAGAAAAAAGGAACCCTTTAATAACAGTTTAAATGCTTTTGGAACCAATTCGATGAATAACGTCACAGTGTGTCGTCTTGTGAAATGTCTATAATATACCTCTGGTAGTGCCTCTCCAAGCAGAAACGCCGAAGACAAAAAAAAAATCTGTGATCTATAATGCTCTGGAAGACGTTCCACAAAATAACGTTACTGAAACTATGGCTTGTCTGGTGATTAACTTGTGACCTTGTCTTGTTTTAATGTGGTCAAGTAAGACAAATATCTGGTGTTTGTTTTTCATTGATAATTGTTTATCAGAGACATTAATCACACGAGTCCAAATTTCATTGATCAGGACAAACATCTAATGTTCAATTACATTATTCAAATATCTTTAGCCAAGCTAGAACTTCAAAGAAAGAAGAAGATTTGCATCACTATAGAAATGATGCACATAGGACAATCAATATTAGAAGAATATGGAAATATCCAGTTATAAAACTTTCCCAATTTGCCAATATTACTTTTGTTTGATTTTTTTGCAAGATAGCATACTTCAGTTTTTATTTTACTGTTATCGAGAACAACTAACATTTTGATCATCACTGAAAAGCAAATTAAAGAGCCAAAAATGCACATACGAAATAAACATTAAAAAAAAGGGGAGATAGAATTGTGTATTCCTGAAGAAAATAGGTCAAACATTTTAGTTTAATCAGTATTCAAACATTCATATCAACCTGTCTCTCACTTAATGTAACTCCAGACTGATAGCTGCCATGTTACATAAAGGAATGTACATGTAAGAAAGAAGATATGCCCTTTTGACCCAATAGTTAAATACCTCCAGTCCTGGACAGGACTCAACTCCATTTGATAACCACCAGTCCTGGAGAGGACATAAGTCCATTTGAGTACCACCAATCCAAAACAGGACATAAGTCCATTTGAGTACTACCAGTCCATGATAAAATATAAGTCCATTTCAATCCCACTATAATCCCCTAAAGGACATAAGTCCATATGAGTACCATCAATCTCCTACAGGACATACGTCTATTTGAACTACTGCTATGGATATCAGGAGACAAACTTATATATTGCATATAGCAGCCATTGTTCGTTTACAAACACATTGCTGCCTAAGACATATAAAAGTGGAATATGCATTCAACAGAATGCTGCGGTATTACAGTGTATACCAGGTCCATCAACCAAAGAAAGGATAGACTTTTTCATTTCACCAATGTAATTTAAAAATAAATTAATGTTAACCTTAATGTCTGGAGATTTGATCTGTATGTTAAAATGTTTGTTCCAAAACTTAAGTATGTAATATACTTGTTAATTTAATGAACAAATAGGCATGTATATGAGATGCCAATTATAATAGACAGACACAGAGAGGTGGATACAAGAAGTACAGATTAACAAACAAAAATTAAAGGGAAAATATACAACTTGCAAATATAGACCACAAACACATAACGATTACTTTTTCTCAGATACCTGAACTACCCACAAGACTTTTTTTTTTAAAATTTGTGTTTTTGTTTTTCACAACAACAATTGGAAAGAAAAAAATTTCAGTATTATGGCTAATAATTATGCTGAATATTTTTCAAGTCTAAGTCACTTTAGGCAAACACAGAAAATACATATGACCACATAATACAAAATAACTTGCCTATTCAGAGTATAAATATACACATGAACATCTGCAACAAGCAATTATCATAGGTTTCTACAGATAAGCAACTAAATGCATGCAAAAACTACATGTTACATCTGAGGACATGGTAATAATAAAGAAAACTATAATACTGTTAGTAAATCCCTCTTAAAAACTGAAAAATACTCCCACCAGAAGTGTTAGTTAGTGTGACCACTGAGATTCAAGTCATCCTCAACTTTAAACTTAACTAAAATTTTTGCAAATTATAAATAATTTTAGGTATAGTTACAGAAAACATCTTCATTTTAAAGGCTATTATTAATTTTTTTTTAATATTATGGCTATTAGTTATATAATTATGAAACCAGGAAAATGTAAATTATATATATTTTTGAATTATATGTTAACTTTATATGAAAATATGAAAATTAAAAAAAAAAATAATTAAATAATTTTCAGCTTTCATCTCAGTAGATCACATGTAGTTCCCTTTTTCCCTTTTAAAAAACCCCCGCCATCATTCAGAACTGAATAAATAACAAAAACTAACGCTACAACTAGCGGTGTTATAAAGTGACATGTTAGCTATACAGGCCCGCAGCAACAAGACACTGGAAGATTTAGGTTCAGGATGTACCTGCATCCAACATTGGGATGTCGTCCACGTCAGAATCGTTGTCCGGCTGTCTGTCCTCCGCCCCCGTGATCATGATCTCGGGGGTGCGGGATCGGGACTGGGTGTTCTTTGATAGGGAGGAGGAGGAAGTATTTGGAGTGAGGGCCGTCCACTGCCCTCCGCCCCCTGATTTGCCCGGGCCTTTCTTGTTTTTGTCTTTCCGCCTTTTGTTTGATTCCTCACCTAATTTTTTTAGGAGATGATCAAAGAACTGAATTTTTTTTCATGTTTTTTAAAGTCACACTTAAGAAATTTTGGAGCCAGAAGTTTAATTCCTAAATAAGTGCTCAATCAACATGCATAACTTTTTTGATGATATAAATCACATACTTCCATTGTCCAAATAAAATAACATAATAAATACATATACATTCCTTATTGAAAAATTACATGCATACATAGAAAGCATATGGGGGGGATAATTTGAAGTTAATTATAGGTTTACAATCATCATGCAATTAATTCTCCTTTTCCTATATTCCCTCCCCATCACCAATAATAATATTAGATTAAACCATATAGAGCACCAAATTTCTTTCCAGAGCTACTAAAAAAGCTGTATTCTGCATTGAAGGTCAGTTTTTCATGACAGACCCAGCCATATTTCATGTTTCAACAGTGTAAATCCTAGCAAAGAAAGTATTCTAAAACCATGATAAAAGCTAGAACTTTAGTCACTGTCATACATGTTCTTAACATAATCATAACAGAACGTAGCTCACTGTTAATCTAAAACCACAGCAGAAATAGCTAGCTTACACCGATAAACTAAAACGATAGAACTTATTTCACTGCTATACTGAAACCATGTAGCAGAACTTATTTCAAATCTATACTAAAACTAATATCAGAACTAGAGCTCACTGTTATACTAAAACAATTGCAGTACAAAATATCTCTCAATCCTAACAGAATTTAGATTCGTAATACACAAATGACATCTGGACCATACCCATATCGAAAATAAATATAAAAATAATAGATTAAAATAATACAAAAATAATACAAAAAAAGTATATTTTTAATGACCAAATTTGGAACCCTTTTTATCTTGGTTCCAAATTAGGTCAAAAATAATACACTTTCTTAGAAATGAAACACAAAAAAATATATTTTTAATATACTTTATTTCTCAGTAAAAATACAAAAATAATACACTTGATGTATTTTTTCTGTACTCTTGTATTTTTTCTGTATTAAATCCTTATCCAAAGTACAAAAATAATACAATTTAGAGAAGAACTAAAAAATACAAAAATAATATAAAATGTATTAATTTTGTATCAGTCTATTATTTCTGTATTATTTGGAGCACCTTGAAAAAAAAAATAGGAAAATAATACAAAATGTATTAATTTTGTATCAGTCTATTATTTCTGTATTATTTGGAACACCTTGAAAAAAAAAAATAGGAAAATAATACAAAATGTATTAATTTTGTATCAGTCTATTATTTCTGTATTATTTGGAGCACCTTGAAAAAAAATAGGAAAATAATACGAAATGTATTAATTTTGTATCAGTCTATTATTTCTGTATTATTTGGAGCACCTTGAAAAAAAAATAGGAAAATAATACAAAATGTATTAATTTTGTATCAGTCTATTATTTCTGTATTATTTGGAGCACCTTGAAAAAAAATAGGAAAATAATACAAAATGTATTAATTTTGTATCAGTCTATTATTTCTGTATTAAAATTGATTTTAAAACAAAAAAAATCTAAAAATAATACATTCTGAAAGATACAAAAAAAAATACATTTAGGAGTTCAAAAAAGGTACAAGAATGATAGACAAAAAGTACATAAAAAAGCTTTAAATAATACAAAGCAGTGCCTAGAAAAGTACTAAAAAGGTGAAAAACTTCTTCTTAAATGCAGCTTTCAATCAGATTTTAAAGAGAAATGGCTTTAGATTACTGATTTAGTTACTTTTTGTGCAATAATCTTGATCTTTTCTGTCTTACATACAGTATTCACTCTTCAATTGTCCTTATTTCTAAGTCATGTTTTATCAATCTTATTGTCTTTGTAAATTGTACATTTATAATGAGATATGAATTCAAAAGTCTAGATCTTCTCTCTGCTTTGGGGTTTCTTTTGCACAGCACTTTACTTTATTGAAGAAGTACATCTCCAGTTTTCTCACTGTCATCCTGCTTGGTCCTGCATAATCTTAGACTACAAAATAGAATATCAAAATGTACTGGGGTATATCAAAAATAGATGCACAGACACACACAAAAAGAAATCTTCACATGATTAGCTGATATTGTCATTTGTCAATGTTACACACCTGTAATGCTTCAAGGGGTAGGGTGGGAGGGTGGGTGGGTAGGTGTCCTATTCCTCTATAACTAATCAGCTTTTCTTCTTTGGCTCTGTAGAGGCACTCAAACTGAAAAAGTAATGATACTGATAAATGTTTTGCAGAACAGGTAGAAATACAGACCATTAAAAAATGAAAATATAAAACTGTCAATACACCTCATTGGAATTGGGGGGGGGGGGGGGTCATTTGATTTGAAATCTTAAACTGATATTGGGGAAGGGAAATATGGATCATCATATATTGATATAAAAAATAATTATTTTGTGCCTAGAATCATTAAATCATATACGATAGGGAACCACACAAACTGTTCAAGTCATTTTTGAAATAATTATAAGTATGCTTAACCATAAATCCATGAAGCTTATTTGCAATGATTACCCCCCCCCCCCTTCACTTTTCAAAATTTAATTGGTTGTATGCCAAGATGATTTTATCTGTTTTTATTCCATGTTTAGGCCTGAGGGATAGGGTGAAATTAATTTTTAAGTCATTTTTGGTCCATGTAAATAATATCATTTGCCATTGAACATGTTGAAAGCCCGTAATTATCCATACAATCCAAGATAGAAAGTAGCATAACAAAACTCTCTTTCGCCACAAATCCAGCATGTCCAATATATCTGCATTCAATTTGACCTACTATGAATTGGTTATAAAAGATATTATTAACATTTATTAATCTACATTTCACATTTTAAAAATTGAAACTACTGTGCTATTTTATGTAAATTCTTACCGCATATGGCGTTGTTTACACCAGGAAAGCCAGGGCATGATGCTTGAAAAACGCCAACCTCCTTCCGTTTTCGCTTTTCTTTGTTTATAAATGTGATCCATGCTAACATGCTGTAGCTAAACCTCTATTTTCTACCAATTTCATCGGCGAATACTAGCTAAATTTTATTAAACATCACCAACTCTCTCAATTCGGTTCGTCGATCTATTTTTCAAAATGGCGTGGGTAAATTACCGTTAACCAATCAGAGAAAAGCAAAGAAAAATTTTAAAATCTGACCAATCAAATAGCTCCTTATTTACGAAGATTGCCGATTTTTAAATATAAAATATTTTTAACAGTCTAAAGAAATGTATTTATGTACGAAGTCTAATAAGTAATATGGAATCAATTTAATAAACCCTTGATCATTACTAGAATAATTATGAGGAATCATTTCTTATAATCGTTATATTTGTTTTTAAGAAATTTTCCGATTACAGATGAAAGATTTCTGGTCAGCGATATTGTTTTGTTTTTTTAATTATACAAGTTGACCTGTAAAGTAGACCATAAAGTTCAAGAAGAAGGATCAATTTAGTGTTAAATCTAAAGCAAAATAACAAGGTATAGAGCCATGCCCCCTTTTCTCGGCGCCATGTCCTTTTTTTCTGACAAAAAATTAATAAATATTCCCAGTGTAGGCAATATTCCTTAGCTGTTCTGTTGATTCAGTGCATACCGATAATCTCTTGTTTACATAACGCAATCAAGTGTGAATTCACGACAGGAAATCACTTCACGCTTGAACGCATCACACAGCCACCTGGCTAATTAACATGCCTCATGCTGTCAGGGTAGAAGATTTAACTTGAGAAACTGTCATTTGATTGCATTGATTATACAAGAATTAGCCCAAGATCAAACATAATTAACTTGTAAATTATCGACTAATTAAAATCAGGATCGTTTTTTTTTAAAACTGAGAGTAGAATTTAACACAGAGTTGAAGAAAAACTGATATTTTATCTGAATAAAAACAACTTACTTTGTACCAAAAACTGAATGTGAAGTGACAAAAGGCTAAAAAACAACAACCTAAGTTAGTTTCAGCTAACATTCTGTAGTGTAAATATCTATCTAACACTGATAATTTAATTAGGAAACCTACTACTTGCACACCCCTTTCTAGACTTGAACATTGTAAGCTCATTTCTTGAAATTTATTTAGGATAATTTGAATATGATTCCTTCTCTGAGTGAAAAAAATGCACATATATACTAAAATCTGAAGAAAACATCGTATGCATGGTAATAGCTAGTTGGGACTTTCCATGTGCACAGGTAAATCACGTGATTTCTGAATTGTAGTATGATGCAATCATTTGTTAGCCTGCAAGATCTAAACACGTGAAAGATGTAAACCCGCTGAAAAGTTAATGTAAACCCGCTGTAAAATCTTCATGCCCAAGATGGAAATATTTCTCTGGATTACCACTGATTGAGATTAACATAAATTTTAGTACCAATTAATTATTTAAGTTCTAGATAATCGGATACCAAGATTCCTGAACAAAAATATATAATATAAATTTTCTAAGTACCGGATATGCTATAAACTTATAAAAAAAAGCAGCAGACATTTTGCAAGGAATTTCTCTAAAATTTATAAAGTTCATAAAGACAAATGTAAATAGAAAAAATGTCTAAATTTAACCCCCCCCCCCCAACAACAACAAAAAGAAATAGAGACCAAATATATGGAATTTTCTGTAAATGTACTAAAATCAAATTTGAGACAAAAAATACTGATAGTCTTTCTGTAAAATTACCAAGTCCAAATTTAATATAAAAATAATACAGACAAACTCTGTAAAATTACTAAGTCTAAATTTGATATAAAAATAATACAGACAAACTGTCTGTAAAATTATTAAGTCCAAATTTAATACAGAAATGATACAGTCTAACTGTATAGACTTTTCTGTAAAATTACTAAGTTCAAATTTGATACAGAAAAAATACATCTGGAAAAAATTAAGTCCTGTAAAAATACAAAAATAATACACTGAAAATAATCTAAGTCCAAAAAATACAAAAATAATACACTGTACAAAATCAAAGTCAAATTTTAATACAAAAATGATATACTGAATTTTTTGTGATAGGAAAATAATATATTTTTTCTGTATTATTTTAAGAAAGTACAAAAATGAATGTATTAAAAGTATATTAAAAATATACTTTTCTGTATTATTTTTTGATATGGGTAGTGACATATTTTGTCCAAATAACGGCAACAGAAAATTTTGAAACATTTAATGTAGAATGCATTTGTTCACTGCATCCTGTTCTCATAATATAAGCTATGAACAAATAGTTTTCTGTTCATGTAGGTTATCAAACATGTATTGAATATACAAACAAACTAATGAAAGTACACACAAATGTGTTCATAGGCAGCTACATTCAAGTCTGAATGAAAAAAAATATGCGATAGCTATATTATAAATTTATGAGATTTAAATTCTTTAAAGTTCCTTCCCTTGATTTTTCAAAAAAAAAAAAAAAACGTCCCTTGCATGGAAAAAATGCAGTCATCCATTGTTATTTTTGATTAAGTGATCTGGTTCCCCTACCTTGATTTATGATGGGAATGTCCTGGATATCGCTATCTGGGTCGTCGCTGTAACTGTCCTCTGTTACGTTGAGGACTGGATACGAGCCGTCGTTACGACGGAGGTTTGGCGAGTGGCTACGAATTTCCTCCTCATCCTCGAAACCCGCGGGACCGATGTATTCTAAAAAAAAAAAGAAATATGACATGAGAATATTTAATTGAAGGTCATCACTCGAATAAATAAATCATGATTAATAACTGTACAAATATCATAGCTTTCAATTCTCATTAAAAAAATAAATTTCATAAGATTTTTTTAGTAAAAAATTGTAATTTAAACCATAATATAGATTCAAATTATAATATTATAATGAAATTTCAAATATTCATAAATTGGATCACTAATTTTAACTAAAAAAAAGAAAAAAAATATATACATTGTTATGAACTGATCCTTATAAGTTTACTGATAAGTCTTATGTGAGTATGCAATATAATACGTAAATATAATATATACAAATACATTACTAAAAGCCTGTTTATTTACTCCTTCCTCCGATTTTTTTTTAAGAAAGAAAATCTCAAAAAAAAGTTAAATTAAAAAATATTATGATTTTGAAGAAATAAAAAACAAAAAGTTAAGTTGATAAGTAATAAAATTTTTACAGTTAATATAATTTTACAGATTAAATTGGTATTATTTGAAATACATGCCTTGTACATGCTTATCTAAAATTTCATATAGTTTAAGACCCTCAGCTAATAAAATAGCATCATTCTGTTCTCGATATCATTCAAATAGAAGGCTTATACCAGGACTATGTTGTCTGAAGATACTGCTATTGGTGACTTGATGATGTATCATACGATGTTAAATTTATGAATTAAAGAGGGATGTTTTTTTTCCTATATATCTGATGATGTGGAACATCAGAGCCATTAGTGACTCGGGTTAGCATCTTGTTAATGTAACCTTTGAGATTTCAATTATTTATGATATTCATTTCCAATCCTATTTGCTCAAGGATGCTTTGTGCTAAGTTTGGTTGATATTGCCCAAGTGGTTCTGGAGAAGATGAAACTGTGAAGAGTTACTGTCAATGATGACTACAAATTAAACAGGCAAATTTCTATCAGAAAAGCATTTGTGCCAACTTTGGCTCAGGTGAGCTAAAAATATTTGATGGCATACAATTAATAGAATGAAATAATAAATCTGTTGCTTTTGAGAGAAAATGACAATTTTGAAGTATTTCAAGTTTTTTTTCTGTTTTGTCAAAGAATAGAACAACATGCCATCATGCGGAGATGCCAATAAATAAGGTTATACCTTAATACTTTTCTTGTCTGTTAGCATGATCGTGACAAAAAAATGAAATTGAGAATTTCTGTGGATGAGCTCTTTCATGCAAAATGTGATTAGATTGTCAAAGAATTATTGATTAAGGACCTTGGAAAGAAAGGGGTAGGGATGGGGAGATGGAGGGGGGCATATAAAACTTAATTTTGAAGATCTGCAGTCTTCAAATGTATCACATATTAATCTATTGAGTACTGGACTATAATTACTAGGCCATTCAAAATAAATGCTACAATGGACTGAAACTTGTTAAATTCATATTACATGGTAGCTTTCATGCTGGAAAGATTTAAGTAGCCAATTCATGCAAGTTCTAATAACATGTCACTTACCATGCTCATGCTTTTCCAGTAATTTCTTTTTTGACTTGTTTTTGGCTATATCACAATAAGAAGTATAATAGCAAAATAAAAACTTTCCAATAAAAGGGGGAGGGGGACAATTTAATTCCCTTCTATAAATTGAAAGTAACTAGGGAAAGATAGGAAAACTGTATTTTAAAATTAATGATAAACAGAAGTAAATCAGTATGATAAGTTATATGTATTCTTGAATTACATAAAGACTTTCCTGTAATACTAAATTTGAGAGCTCTCTTAATCATCATTGATGATGAAAAATGATAATGAAAAATGATGGCAAATTCACATGCACAGTGCTAAATGACAACAGAATTACAAGTGTTCACAACGGACAACACAAGTGTTCAATCGAAACTTTCTTTTCCTAATAATTCCAGTATTGCTGTATGTATATAATTAATTCATTGCTATCTTATCTCTCTCAATACATAATAATGTTAGAGATAAATTAATGGTATAATCATAATACGTAATATCGCGACTACCAATGAGTACCTCGCAGTTATCTAACTTACTACCGCTCTTTTGCGGGGGAATCTACAAAAACTACCTCATTTCAATAATCCATTATAATCTTAGATGTCGTAAATTTCACTTCAAAGCATTAATTAATTTTAATTTTGTAAATCTCATGAAAATATTTTACTTGACAACTAAACATATAGCCAGTTGTGCTCCTCTGTCAATGACACACAAAGCTTTAGACTGACAAGGATCAAGAACTGTTGATATGTTACCATGGAGATTTGTAGGGGTGGACGGTTTAGATCCCACGAGGGGTTGTGTTTCGCTGCGATGTTTGCGGCCTGACGTCGGGCGACTGTCTGGGTTGTGTTGTAATATTCCTAACTGCTGTCTCTTTTTCCGAGCTTGTTCTTCGATCCGCCTTCTCTGAATAGGTAGAAAATATCGAAATTAAGAAAAACCAAACCTCTGCTTCATAGGGATGCTTATATTTATGATCTTCAATCATCTCTTTTGGATCAAAAGTATGTTGTTAGCTGTTCAATCCTCTCCCCCCCCCCCCACCCCCCTCTCTCTCAGAGACACTACTAAGTCCAATGATAAAATGCAACCAATGTCCTACATGCTTGTGGGAGTATGACTATATTTTTTATTCTTAATGCGACATCTGATTTGATCTGCTTGACGGTTGGTCATCAGCAGTGTTTCCTTCATAAATCTCAAGTATATCTCAAAGATATTGAATATCTCTTTAGGTAAGAAGATATTGGCTAAAATCAAGTTTATTTCTCTAATCAAAAAAAAGCAACCCATCCCCAAAATTAAATGTTATGTACATATATATTTTTATATACTTTAAAGTAAGTTGCAATTTGCCTAAAATCACTCTCTGGCAATTTTAAAAATTATTTTTATTTTTAGATTACATGACTGTTTGTTTTATTGCATGCCTAGCAAATTGCAGGTACAACCTTTCAAGTCTGTAATAAACTTTTCAATTAATTCTATTGTTTTAAATGACTTATAGCTTCCATTAGGCATTCAAGTTTTATTTGAAGACCAGAAACTAGCTTTGTTACAAATGTTATTCTAGACAATTTAGTCTATAAAACTTTTTTTCAAAGAAAAATCTCTGTGCTGCCAATGAAAATCACAATACATACCTCTTTTTCCAACTTCTTCTGTTGTACATTGAAGTTATCATGATCTTGAATGCTGAAAAAACAAATAAAATCCTTGAATATCAAAAAATGCTTTGACTATGTATCAGAAAGAGGCTAGAGTGACATATTGTTGGGTTTTGACCCTCCGCCCCCCCCCCCTCCCCACCACTAATCAAATGAAAATGATTTGAAAGTCTTTATCCTCACAATATATGATCTTGATGAAAATAAGATGACGTATAATCACAAATTTTCAAGATGAGACCATGGTGACCTACTTTGGGATTGCAACACCTGACTCTCAACAGAACGTTTGAAATTGATCACGATGTGAAAGATGTGACCTTGACACAAAAAAGAGGCCAAATTTGCTCAGCAAGGCATTCTGACAAGAAAAAAAAGCAGATATACAGATAAATTGTTATCTTGAACCTCAGATGGGACTTTTCAATCAGAAAAACTCTCTTGATCAAGACTTACTAACAGAGACAGACGGGCGGGGAGGTTTAAACCATATAATGGTCATCAGTAGACAGCAAGTTATAAGAAAGATAAACCTTCAGGTGAATTAAACTTTAAGAAGCCAACCTGACCATTATCTAATATCAATTAATGAAATTTACTAATTACCTGCCAGGCGGGCCACTCATTGTCCACTGATGATTCTCTTCAAAATCTTGTCTGCAAATAAAAGAAAAAAAAAAGTTCTATAAATTATCACACAACACAGATAACCGTTTTATCAATATTTTACAAAATTAACTATTTCCTGAATCAATGCTTTCAATAATGGAGTTAAATGAGCATCTGATGAAATCAAACATACATGTACATTTATATAAAAAAACAACTGTTATGCTTTCAGTGCAGTTGGCGACAAAATACATTTAAATATAATGATTTTCCGATGCTTCCATCATACACACTGCCGTAAATTAGTGCCTCAAAGGGAAATACCTTTTTTTCTCTAATACACACTGTCATTATTTTTATAACAATGCACAATAATTGTAACACATCATTATAATAATGTACTGTACTGCTGAATAATGGTTTTCAATGAGATTAATGTTAGCTTCAGAATTTGTTGTTTAGCTTAAAGTACAAAAGCAAAATCAATATGTCTCAGACCATAAAGAAGGTGAAAATTAAAATCTAGTCTAAAAAAAAGATGGGGCAAATACATTCTGTTATTTTTCTTCCATGTTTCCCTCTACCATCATGCCCCCCCCTTCCACCCCAGGTATGAGGGCACGGACGCATGGGATTCCCAAATAATTTCTAGCATATGTCACCGGTCCTTTAAATATCAGATAATTCCAACAATGAAACAGTACTAAAAATAAATACTAACATTTTTTCAGTAAACTTATAACTTACTTGATTTAATCAAGGCAATATGCCTTAATTTTCTTTCAGTAAAAAAAAAATCAATATCCTTGTGTTAGAATAAAACCATACACTGAATTAACACACTTTTTAATTAGGTCACTTCTAATTTCCCAAGGCATTAAGGCAAGTTCCCTGTTCAAAGTAGTTCTGTTTAAATAACACTGCAATAAAAATTGTACTTTTTATATACAATGTAGTCCATGCTTTTTCTTTGATGCTGGCCCTTGCAGAGAAAATGTTTATTGCACAGTTAAACAATTATAATCAATTTAATTAATCAGCTCATTATTTGATTACTTCAGCTAATGCACCTGACAAGTGCCTCACTTTGTGTTCAGTGGGTGACAAGTCTCATTAATTACTGAAATAATTAACACCTACTAATTAATGAACACCTATCATTTCCCAGTTGTAGACTAAAAATTTACCCTTCTTAAATTAAAATTTTTCCTCTTTCATAGATTAA